TTGATCTAAAAAGCATACACATGGCTATATTTTTCTAGATGGAAAAATATATTTTAGAATTATCTTAGTCCACGACCACGTAAGTAAAAGGCGCTTTTTTGAAATATAAGGGAAGACAAATAGTTTACATATAACGTATAATGAAATGTTAAATTTCGATCTCAACTCAATACTCAAATCAAAATAGAAATGCTGTAAACACAACATATCACTCCAATAGACATATTTTATCAACCTGACGCAGTTGACTTTTGTAAATACGATATTCAAGAAATTGAAATATCTACTTTAAAAAAGTAGTCTACTTTATCACACCCTAAAAAGGTTCTTATCATTGAAGATATATATCGATTTTTATTTTTAACTGTATGAGGTAGGATTGGGTTAGAAAATCTAAGAATAATAGGTTAAGAGTCATCCATAATTGACGTCTCGCTTTGTTTTGACGATTTTTACCTCCCCCTCCCCTTATTCACACATCGTCACAAAAAGCCAAACCCGCCCCCTAAAATGACATTGAAACCAATTGACACTTTTAACCACTACATATTTATAACTGATATTCTCTTTATTTGTGATCGCCGAATTAGTTAACTTTCTGAATGTTCTTAAATAAAATTATTTTTAACATAATTATAAATAAAGAATAATTTAAAAATAAGAAAGTTATAACAAAAAAAATGTTAATTAACGTAAATACAATATAAAAGTAAAGTTCCCTTTTCAGGCCAAATGATCCGTAGGATGGAATAAGTAGAGCTTTTATTTTTTTAACCTCAGCATATTAAGAAATAATTTCTGAACTACATCCAGCTGCCTTTACTTTGACCAACGGAGTCACGTACCCATCAGGGCTGGGTGGACGCAGGGACACTCTGCAGTTGTGAATACGGACCGTAATTACACTATAGACTTAAATTTCGCATATATTAATGTATATTTTTAGTTTTTACAGAACTCAAGAATATAAATATTATTATCAAATGTTACAATTTTTTGTAATAATTTCGGTACAGATAATTTCTACATTCTCCCTAAAGGAGAGAAGAAGGCACTTGTCATTAACACACTTGTTTCTAAAAAAAACGTCAGTGCTGGGACAAGATGGTCAGCCTGTTATATATAAATGCAAATAGTTTTAAAATACTAATGTGTCCATCTGCTATCGCTTAAAACAGTACCTTGAATAATACATTTATGAATGTAATGTTGAAAGAGAGATTACTAATTATATAATAAAAAGGACAAACTAAAAAAAAACCTACTTTACATTCCCGTGAAAACAACAGAACAATAATACATTAAAATGAGAACTTAAATTCTACTTATTTTTCTTTACCTGTGATGAGTAAAATCAACAATTTTGACACTAGAAAATCGATATTAAATCAGAAGAACATAAACGTTACAACGTAACAAATGAGTCGTGACTCAATAAGCTATTGATTTTAATAACTGTATGTCGGAATTGGGCTACGTTAATGAAGTTAATTGATCTTTGAATTATGTCTTGTATGACGGTGTAGATAACAGCACAGGTATATATGAGTGTATGTATTAGCACAGCTCGATATGAATGTGTAATGGCACAGCACGATAAGGCTTGATAGCGTCTAGCAGTCTATGTAGCAATCTCTCCTTCTGTTAGTGAATATAGTAATCTATCAAGCGATTTAATTGTTTAGTGTCGAAACAGCTTAATTAATTTTAATGACTAATTAACTGTCTAATTAAATTTAAAAATACATAGACTTGTTTTGTCAGCAAACTGAAACGTCACTGAAAGGTTTGAACGAAATAGCTGGATTAGATGGAGGTCAAAATAGAGTTACATACTTTGCCACAAACAGGCGTTTCGAGCTAAATAAAAGATAGTAAAAATGTTTTAATAAGAGGCTTTTATGTAATAATGCACTAAAAAGAAGAAAAAGAAAGATTTTCTTTAAATATATTAGCAATATAAACCATAAGTGATATTTCCACGCCAAGAGTAGACTGATGTGCAGAATATAGTCCAAGTAGAGACATGGAAGTTTTAACCCAACGGGATCCGAAACTACATCGCTTCCCCATTCTTTGCAACAAGTCAGACGTGTAACCACTGAAGCCAATCAGCTCTAAACAAAGTAGAGCTTTTTTGGCTGATCCAAGTGCCCAAACTGACCGATGGCCTCATAAACATGACAAGGACTATTATTCGACCTCAATAACGGCACAGAAGTACGGGATCGATGACACAGACAAACAGTAGCTTCCCTAAATGGGTATACTGTAAACATGTAGAGGGTTGGAAGCAGGAGTTGTAACTGAAATAGCAAATATAAACAGAAAGTGATATTTCAACGCCTGCTTCGACCCATTCCACGCGTTTAAATATATTATACGAAACTACTTTTTAAATGAATATAAAGAAAAGCGTTTTGAACTAAATAAAAGCTTGTAAAAATTATAATTCGGCCTTTGAATCAAAGGACAAAGAATACAACTTTGGAGTATAGACCAAAACCATTATTCGATGTAAGATACATAAATCTAACCCAAGATTCATTTGACAATCGCAGGATATCATCGACACCTTGACTTGAAATAAATTGGATCATGTAGAGGAGCACATCTTTTACAAGTATCGTGTGAATAAATATTTAATTCAATTACTTAATGTGAACATATAGAGGCACTGAACGAAATACATAATGTTAATGTACAGCAAACTTTGTCCTGCTGGATTGTGTTCTAAGTTATATAAAAACATGCTGGCTTTTGATACCATTTAGATTTAGGCTTGAGTTCATTACTTGTAATTGTCTTAATAATAATCTACATTTACAAATCGATTGACTTGTTTGACACGCGACATTGGAGTCTTGCCAGTTTCGACGACTGAGATTGTGTAACAGGGGCAGTAACTAGTAAATGTCAATTTAAATACTCTAAATGTATATTTATTTTTAGAATGAGGGGCGCAGAACTGAGAGTTGGCTGGAATCGGTTGCCACACCTCTCTTGTTATCTCCACTTTTATTAATTCGCTAAATTAAATTACTTTTAAATAATTAATGTAAGACCAAAACTAAATATTCCAGATATTCGATTCAAATGATCGATAACATATTTGTGGCAAATATGCTCTAGCGAGTCATACCGCACATAAATAAATATAGCCGCAGCTACAGAATGACCTGTTAGTCTAGGGTTTGTCTCGTTGGACAAGAGGTCCCTTAATAGTAATATTGAGTTTATTAATGTTGTATTATTATTATTAACTGATTGCCGATATTTGGCTCAGAGAAAAGGGTTAAAATTAGGATTGAATAATTAAATCAGTTTCCAATCCTTTAACTTTTATTAATTAATACATTAATAATTGACAACGTAATAACGATACAATTTAAAGTAGCCTGGAAGGGGCGACTGGTCTCCAGGGCGGCGTGGTTACACTTCCTCACACACAGACCTCTGTACTAAGTTTTAGCCTCAAGCTGGCCGGCTGTAAAATACATTAGACAACTTCCTAACATCTCTGTGATATACACATTCATTCAGACACATACAAGTTTAAAATTGTTACCCAGATAATACATTTACATTAGCCTTACATAAGGCCTACAATAAACATTACTAGGAAATATGCTTTCATTCATACATTGTTTTATATTCATTCCATACTTATTAATTAATATTATAACGTTACAGCTAATAAAAGTAAGTGTTAATTACCTTCCAAAGAAGCCACACAATCCTCTACACACGTTGCCAAACGTACGTTTAATTTCTCCGAGGAGAACAAGTGCCGTAGCACCAAAATAATTATAATGTAATAATGGCTAGTGCCTAAGCACCAAAATAAACGTGTACCTCCGAAGAGGGGAGAAGGTAGAGTGACCGGACTGTAGCGTCCCTACCCTACAGGTCACATGACTCAGGCTCCGCCCTCACGACCGCAGTCTGAGGTCGAGGCCCGGTCAGCCTTACAATACCGCCGGACTCAGGTCCAGGTGTGTACTGTTACCTGTGGGGTAGCAAGAAGGGGGGAGAGGTGGAGACACCATGATAGATATTTATAATCTATCATAACATCCCCCTCCCCGCGATAATGGTTTGCTGAAAGCACACCTTTAGCGCAACCTAAACACACTTTTCATATTAAATCCTTACATACCATACATTTTGTCATTGTGTAAAATAAAAGGTTACAGTACGATCACATTATACAACTGTATTACATAAAAATCAAGGAAATCAAAAGCGTTTTCACCGCTAAAGTAATCAATTTTAACTACATATATAAGTAGGACTATCATAAATGTAATGACACCTATGTCCAAAAGAAATGATGAGTAGTATAACTATATTTAAAAGTGTTTACTTGGTACATTCAATTGAATAGCTGTGCATAGTAGACCCTACATTGAAAGTGGGTGCTCTATGAAACAAATGCAAAGACATGTAAAATAAGTATACATTCATCATGTTAACTAAACATGTAATTTATCAACTGAAATAAAACACGATAACAAATGCATTTTATGTAAATATACATTTATATAGAATTGTCTATCTAGCGTCGTATTGTGACCGTTCTGACCACCTACATTTCTGTAAGTCTTTTGTTACAGGCATTGGTTCAGAATTGATTGTCAGGCTATTCTTGTTTTTAGTAAGGTGGCCTATAGGCTTTGTTATAATTTTTATAACCGTCATACACAATGTTATTTATCATTGGAGCAATATGTCTTTTCTTTGGAGCATAAGTATTAGCTGTAGCTTTTAGTTTTATTGCACTGGTTTTTATTCTGTCTCTAAATGAGTCCCAGTGTTTATGATTATTTTGCGATTTATTTTTGTGGTCAGTGATTGCGCCCACCTTAGTTTTCTTGTGTGTTTGACCAACATTGCATGTCTTGTAATGGTAGGATACTGACTTTGATAAGCCAGGCCACCAAAAATGCTCTAAGATTCGAGCTTTCATTTTGGCCACGCCCACATGAACTGACCGCTTGTTGCTGTGGGTCAGGTCAAGTACCACCTGCCGCAGCGGTTTAGGTACAGCCAATTGATCCCACGCGACGCCCTGTCCGTCGGTGTATCGTCTCATCAACAGTCCATCGCTGTTAAAATAAAAGTGAGAGGGTCCGTGCTGGTCCAGTTTAGTCTGAGCGAATAATTTAGTCTTAGCTAACGTTTCGTCTTTTGTCTGCATTTGTTTGAACTGTTCGACAGTCACGTCAAATTCAGCGATGAATCTTGTAATGTCATTCTTTTTTGTTACTTTCTTAGTTTGTGCCTTTGTGACGAGGGCGGCTGCTACGTCTAGGTTATCACCCATCGTCGCCCCACTCACGTTACCAATTATTAAGTCCACGGGCGGGTCTTTCAGGAGCGCCGCTTTAGTGCACCCGGTAAAATATGGAGATTTGATTCTAATCCATCCCACTTTATAAACCACTTTTGTACCATCAAATAAAGTACAAGTAACGGTGTCGTTATTGTTTTGTCCGTTACTCAATGATTCCCTGCATCCTATAATACTACACCCGGTATCTCTTAATACCTTAACCTTTTCCCCATTAACTTCACCATCAGCTATATTTCCTCTCTTAGATTCTATGTCCCCCTCGAAACATGCAAGACCTAACTGAGGATCCCTTCTTTGATCAAAATGCTTTCTGTCACCTATTATATCTTTGTCCGACATTGCCAATAACTGTTCTTCTGCCTGATGGCTAGCAAAAGGGTTGCCAGTGCTAACCTGGCCCACCGCTGCGCTACCATAGCCTCCCCTTCCCCTGCTGACAGCAGCTGCGGGGTAGGCGTTATTTCTGACCGGACCCGAGTATTGCTGGCGGTCATTGTGACCCTCGCTCCGTGACCCGGCATCCTCACTCGTGTAACGCTTCAGGTGGAAACAATCGTCCGTGTTGTGTCCCCTTTTAAAACAGAAAGCGCAAGACTTGGGCTGATTGTTAAATTTGTCATCGAGGCCTACGTGCGCTATTGGTTTAGTTATATGCTTTTTACGTGCTAGGTTTTTATCTGGATGCGCTATCATGTAATTGTCGGCTTGGGTTAATACCGAGTCCAGATTTAGGTCATTTCTCTCAGTGATGAAATTGACCACGTCCTCGTTGACAGTGTGTAGTAGTTTATCTACCACCATCAAATCACGGAGGGCTTCAAATGACTTGTCGATTTTTGACAAGTCTACCCATCGAGTAAGGTAATGTTTTGCTCTGTTGCTATAAGCAACAATAGACTCATTAGCCTCAGGTGATATGGAGTAAAACTTTTGCCTATATCCCTGTGCTGTCAGATGAAAGTGACGACATAGAGCAGTTTTTACCTCCTCGTAGGAAGCTTTTGCTTCCGCTCTGTGTCCCATAAAGCACACTGGCAATAGTTCTGCCGGCATTAATTTGCGGAGCTCATTACTCCAGCAGTCTTGCCTCCATCTGTTTTGCCTAGCCTCTTCTTCAAAACGAAGGAGAAAAAAGTCTAGGTGATCGGCCACCCCATCAAACTTTGGTAGTGTTACCTTCGATGATCCGACACCTATTTGCTCCTCCTCCTTCCCCACATACTCGTTGCTACGATTCGCTAACTCTATTCGTTTAATTTCCAACTCTAACAGCTGAATTTGACGCTCCTCTTTTTCCTTGTCCCTAGCCCACTCTGCTTGCTTAAATTCTCTTTCCCTGTCTACCCTAGCCCGTTCCGCGTCCACCTCATCCCTGACCCATTTTAAAAGCTTTGTCCCCGCGTAACCTAACGCCTCCCCCTCCCGCTTTATCTCTAGCTGTGACCGCTGCGTAGCCTGGTAGGATGCCATGGCGTCCGGTCAACTTTAGGTCAAGAGTAGGATACCTTTGTACAGGGGGGGATAGTAGGGTGGTCACTGGTCGGGGTACCCAACTAGTGTTAGCTGTATTTTAAAAAAAAAATATTAATGTAGAGCACTGACAGTATCTGAACTTGCCTGAACAAGAGACACTTACCGAAACTGCAGTGGTCGCTCTGAGTCACCCTGGGAAGTTAGCTGGGTGGTATCAAGGGTGGGTAGAGCTAGGTCTAACTTTGACTTTAACAATCTGAAAACTATAAGTAATTACTAGTAAAGGATGTACAATTGTATTCTAATTGTGGCATAAAAAGTAACAAAATTAAATTAAAATTAAATTCTACCTTTATATATATAATTATATATATATGATAAAAATGTACCAGTATTTATATATATTAAAAAAATTTAGCTTTGATACGAGCCCCCAATGTGGCAAATATGCTCTAGCGAGTCATACCGCACATAAATAAATATAGCCGCAGCTACAGAATGACCTGTTAGTCTAGGGTTTGTCTCGTTGGACAAGAGGTCCCTTAATAGTAATATTGAGTTTATTAATGTTGTATTATTATTATTAACTGATTGCCGATATTTGGCTCAGTGAAAAGGGTTAAAATTAGGATTGAATAATTAAATCAGTTTCCAATCCTTTAACTTTTATTAATTAATACATTAATAATTGACAACGTAATAACGATACAATTTAAAGTAGCCTGGAAGGGGCGACTGGTCTCCAGGGCGGCGTGGTTACACTTCCTCACACACAGACCTCTGTACTAAGTTTTAGCCTCAAGCTGGCCGGCTGTAAAATACATTAGACAACTTCCTAACATCTCTGTGATATACACATTCATTCAGACACATACAAGTTTAAAATTGTTACCCAGATAATACATTTACATTAGCCTTACATAAGGCCTACAATAAACATTACTAGGAAATATGCTTTCATTCATACATTGTTTTATATTCATTCCATACTTATTAATTAATATTATAACGTTACAGCTAATAAAAGTAAGTGTTAATTACCTTCCAAAGAAGCCACACAATCCTCTACACACGTTGCCAAACGTACGTTTAATTTCTCCGAGGAGAACAAGTGCCGTAGCACCAAAATAATTATAATGTAATAATGGCTAGTGCCTAAGCACCAAAATAAACGTGTACCTCCGAAGAGGGGAGAAGGTAGAGTGACCGGACTGTAGCGTCCCTACCCTACAGGTCACATGACTCAGGCTCCGCCCTCACGACCGCAGTCTGAGGTCGAGGCCCGGTCAGCCTTACAATACCGCCGGACTCAGGTCCAGGTGTGTACTGTTACCTGTGGGGTAGCAAGAAGGGGGGAGAGGTGGAGACACCATGATAGATATTTATAATCTATCATAACAATATTCGTTGCATTTCACGTGTGTCAACATTGAGTTTAAAAGAATTGCCACAATCCCTCGAAACAAACAAATCATGTTATAGACTATCCCCTTAGCTGATACTCTAGAAATTACTGTATTCAGTAACAGAAAGGGAGAAAACTAGCTAGGGCTGTGCTATCAGGGACGAGTATAGAGTCATTACAACAATTTGAAACTAAAGGCAGGTAAGAACTAGCGATCACTTGTTTGGCTTGCTGTTGCCTGTATAGTGTGGACACTGTCGGCTGCTTCCACGTAGCAGATAATCGTCTTTCAGATTAGCGAGCTACTAACGGTGTTTTAAAGCAAATATTTGTAGTAGCACCATTAGCAGTGACGACTTTATAAAAGAAAAATGACTAAACATTAAAGTGGAAAAGAAAAAAGAAAAAACGTCGTTATAATAACATGCATTCAAAGCAACAAAAATAAAATAAAAATTATTTGCATTCTTTCTTAAAATCTTTGATCGCACAGGGAAACTTTTTATATTTTAACAACCGAAGATTATGAAATAATCAGTTTTTTTAGTGGACTTAAAAGTTTGTTATTATGTCTATTTTAAAATATTTTACAAATATTTTTTATATTTTTATTTTTTATATTTTTAAAATATTTGTTATGTTTTTAAGCATACGTATATGAGTGTGTGTTTTATTGTTGTGTGCTCAAGGTATGCAGAGTGGACAAAGTAAATGAGCGGATTATTGTTATTCAAAAATATGCGAGCATTTTTCCGGTAAAAGTAACGACATTTATGTAACATTTTTAAAACAATTGCTGATTGACTTCAAACATCCAGATCAATTTGAAGGGCTCAGTGGAAAAAGAACTTAAGTTACACTTTTTTCAAACATAATTTTAGACCTATATATTATTTTTTTACTTCCCCTAAACCATTTCTGTAAATTTTGTCCATGCAAAAAGTATGGAAGTAGCTTAATTCGAATAACCTACATCAGCTGCTTTGGTAATACTTTGAAGAATAAATATTTAAGTGCTGATCTTCATGAAAAAAAAAATTACTTAACTGTTACCTTTTCAACTGCCCCGGGCGCCGTCCCATACGGTGCTCAAACGGTGGTAGAAAAAAAAAGAAAAGCTCCTGAGCGACAATACAGATTTGAATTATAAAATACTCTGCTACGAGTCTTTACATATAGACTTAAATATTGCCTCCAGTCGTTGTGTTACAGGGGCAGTAACTAGTAAACTGCATTTAAAATACATTAAAGAATTTATTTATTAGAATAATGGGCACATAACTGATTGTTAGCCTCAAGCTCTGGAATTGGTTGCCCCACCTCTCTTTTTATCTCCCCTTTTATTAATTCGCTAAACTAAATTACTTTTAACTAATTTATTTTAGACCAAAATGAGGTTGAACAAGATATACCACATATTCTACACGAATGTGCGACGACATAATCGTCGCATTAAAGTGTGTCAAAATTGAGATAAAAAGATTTGCCACAATCCCTCGAAACAAACAAATAAAGTGTTATAAGACTCAGATCACAAAAAAAACGTCTTTTAATTTTTTTTCAAAATTCAGAAATACATCCAATCGATTATAATTAATTTTTAACGATTCTGTTATAATTTATTTACTTAAGCATTCATATTTTTTAAAAAAATGAAACTTAGTTGTATTTCGCGTAGAAGTGATAAAATAGTTTGTACTACCAGAATAAAAAAAAAACAACTTAAAATTAGAAACTTTAAGCCAGAAGTAGGTAATGTTTAGTTGAAAACTGTTTTTCATTTTAAACCAAACAAAATAAACCGGGAGTGATCTCCCTAAAAATTTCTCGAATACTCTAATATAACACTACTAGGGATGGCAACTCGGGACAATATTTGTAATCCATTTTTAATTACTAAAACTTTTTATAATAGAATAGAATCTCGTAGAAAAAAAATTGCGCACCAAGTGAACGCCCAACATGCGTTTTTTGAGAAATCGGAAATAGCACTAATTACTACTTCCGGTCAACGGAAATTACTGAAAATTTGACAGAAGTTAGCAATTTATATCTTTTTATCATATATGAATAAGTTCCAGTTCCGTTTACCAAAAATCGCGAAAAAGTTGATCCCGAACTACACATTTGATATAATACTTATATTGGAAATTTCATCAACCTAGCTGTAACTTAAATGAAGTTATCGTGTTTCAAAACATACACACATACAGAGAGACGTGCGGTCATGTAAAATTACAAATCTCGATTATTGTTTGCACGATTACAACACTTCCTCATACTTTGTATACGAGAAAATAAAGTGTAAAGAAAATCTCAAAAGAACCTTTTCAAGATATTTAAACATTGAACCGTATTTTAATGGTTATGTCCCTTGTCCCAGTGATCACACTAAGTGTAAATGATGTTTTAGTGTTTACAAAATATTAACAAAAGAACGACTTAACAACATTATCTAAAAGATTTAAACCTTCAGTCCTATTGGTGCAGTCCCTAACACTTAAAACATTTTATATTCTTTAAGCAAACAGAAGTTTGGGCAAGTCAGGTGTTTATTGTATTGATATAAAAATAAATAGTAACACGTGGAATCATAAAACGAAATAGAACATATTTTTACAAGATTAATCTTTGTACAGGTATTTGACATGGTGGATACAGATTTGATTGTTTGAAAAGTTAACCATCCACCATGTTTTGTGTTGTACTTCTAAAAACTAACGATAGTAAAACTACTGTACTTGGATAACTTTGCGTCTTGTTCTGCTTTAAACACTTGAAAGTAAAGTTGTTGATCTTTCTTCATGTCAACAACCGCTGACCCAGCAGCACTAGTGGCGGCACATTTCACTTCTACAGACGTACACCACCTGCCTCCAGCCCTCACAACAACTCTAATCTATTTATCTTCACATTCATGTAGAGTGACACAGACAAGATATAAACCATCATGTGGTGATACAAATGTTCCTGTTGTTTGATTAAAATGTTGACCGTTGTATTCTCTAATTTCACCAAATGTTTTCATCCTTGAACTCGATATGATCATTGTGCTTTCTTTCAGGTGGATATAACAACCATATCTGTTACATGCTGCACGTTTTTCTGTCAAGTAGGAAAAAAACATGTATGTTTTGTTAAACGTTTATTTACATTGTTACACATGCGTCAATTATTTGTTCACTATTTTTTTAGGTTAGTATAACTGCTAGTAAATGTATTATATAATCGTTAGTATTGGGTAGTGTATACTGTTTACGTAGTATTTATTGATTAGATTTTCGTAGTGTGTAATGTTTTGTTAGTATTTAATAGTAAGTATTTGATACTATCTATTATATTGCATATTTCATTTTATTTCCTATATCATCATCATCCAACTAATCAATGACCGTTTTGTTTAGTACTCTCCTCACCAAAACTGTGAACGCGAAAACAAAACAACACTCCGTCACAGTTTATGTTTTAAACAGGTGCATGTGAAGTATAAAAAAACGCAGCGAAAAAGTAAAGGTCACTGAAAAGAAAAGCAGTCACAAAAATGAACGAGATAAATTGTTAATTATTGGGTAGCTGTGAGTGCAACTATGTTAAGTTAAATTTAATCAAGTTGTATAAGAAAGT